CTCTGTGAAAAATCAATGAAATATAAAATAAATAAATAAATAAAAATCAATGGAAAAATATCCTCAGATGAGGATTAAAAAATATATATGAATGGAAAGCAAAAGTTCTTAGTTATGATTAGAAATATTTTATGCTTGGACTAATAAAAGAACTTAAAGAATCCAAAGAATATTCTTATTTTATGTTAAACAAAAACATTTTAATAGCTTGCCATAATACACAGTAATAATTTTATATAGGCTATTTTTAATAGGGTAAAACCCAGACACAAAACTAGGAAAAGAAATTTAGAGATCTGTGGACATAGTTCCAAGTTAATATTTTTAATTCAGTGCATTATTCTCTACATTTTTACTCTTAATAAACTCTTAAAGCCATGTACACTAGTTATTTCAAAGTAGGATACCTCCAAAATAATCCACAATGTTATGGAAAGTAAATATTAAATCTTCCATTTATAATTCATTTAGGAATTATGAAAAATTAAATTTTACTAACATATTTAAAATAAGAATGGGCAGTGATAAACTATCACTTATCCATATGACAGCTTTCCTATGGCATAAGCTAACTTAATAAAGGCAGCTCCACATTGAGGAAGGGGAGGAGAGTTGCGCTCACTCATTTTTTAATTTCAGCATGTTGTGACACACAGCTGATTTTGATTGCCCAGTTAAGTAGACTAACAGACTAATTTTAACCCAAACAACCCCAACATAATAAACAAGTGGTAGTTTAAAAAGATTTGTTTGCAAAATAAACACCTGAAAGTAGACTATTATACAAGTACAAGCAAACTAAAAAAATCTATATATATAAAAGCCTAAGTGACCTTTACAACCAAACGACTGGAATGACTGGTAGACCAGTCACTATGATGCACACTGACCACCAGGGGGCAGATGTTAAACGCATGAGCTGCCCCCTGGTGGTCAGTGCATTCCCACAGCCAACCTCCCACTGCCCCTCCCCCACGCCAACTGGCCCCCCCATAGGCCTTGATCACTGGCCAGGCCAAGGGACCCCACCCATGCACTAATTCATGCACCAGGTCTCTAGTAAAAAAATAAATGGCAAAGCTAATACTTTCCCTTCTTTTTACATCATTCACATAATAGAGTTAAAACATAACCTCATCAAATCTGACAACTAGGCAAGAAAAAAATTTTTCTTATCACCAAGACCATCATTAAAAAATAATAATAAAGAAAATGAAGTATTAATTTACATACACCATCCTTATGTAGATACTATGCACTGAGATTAGCTGGTGATAGTAAAAACCAGCACAACTATCAAAACATTTCAAACATGAAGACAAACCTTTACAATTATTCTAGTAAGGTTTAAAATTCATATATTTAATCCAGTCTTTTACAATTCAAACCTCTTTTGAGGTTTCTGCCTTCCTGACATGGAAAAAATTCGTGGCAAGAAACTAAAATGCATTCCTTTATCGGGAAATATTAATGGCGTACAAGTAGAAAACTTTGCCGGGAAAGTTAAGAAATGTATTAGAACCAATTGTGCAATATGTCGGTTTTCTAATATGCTTCACCTCATAGGGCTTACAAGATTCTGAATTAATAATAATAAAATAGATAAAGATCTACTTTTTGTGAGCTATAAAAGGAAAGATATCATCAACAAGAAATGGCCTCTTTAATACAATGTTTTATGGAAAAACAATGTGAATGTAACCACTGCTGGAGCTGAGACTAGGATAAAAATGCGATTAAAAACAAATGAGAACCACACATGAAATACATTTACTGCAAGTCATAGGCAGACTATTGTGGCAAAGAAGCTAAAGCCAGAAATATTCAATGTGTTACAGGATGCTATCATGTTGGTACACATAATCTAAAAGATAAGCAAATTATTTAATAAAGGGAAACAAATGCTATTTAAAAGAACATAGGGAGGCCCTAGCCGGATTTGCTCAGTGGATAGTCAGCCTGCAGACCAAAGGGTCCCAGGGGCTCAATTCCAGTCAAGGGCGCGTACCTTGGCTGCAGACTCCTCCCCTGGCCCCCGCCCTGTTCGGGGCTCCTGCAGGAGGCAACCAATCAATTGTTTCTCTCACATTGATATTTCTCTCTGTCTTTCCCTCTCTCTTCCACTTTACCTAAAAATCAATGGAAAAACATCCTCAGGTGAGGGTTAAAAAAAAAAAGCATACGGAGCACTAGCTGGTTTGAATCAGCAGACAGTAGGGTCCCGGTTCAATTCCGGTCAAGGGCACATGCCCAGATTACGAGCTCCAACCCACATACGGGGCATACAGGAGGCAGCCAATCAATGATTCTTTCTCATCATTGATATTTCTATCTCTCTAACCCTCTCCCTTCCTCTTTGAGATCAATAAAAATATATATTTTAAAAAGCATAGGGGAATCAGGATTAACAATTAAGTATAATTTTACCAGTGTGGTTAGGAAGACTTCACAGAGTTGACAGCTGAGCACAGTCCTAAAGATAGTAAAAAAATTTGGAGGCTGGAGGACAATGTTCAAGGCAGAGTGAGAGAGTGCAAAAGCCTTAAGACAGAAATGTGCCTGGAAGGTTCAAGGAACAGCTAAGGAGGCAAGTGTAGCTGAAGCAGTGTAGGGAGGGATACAGTCAGAGAGGCAAGGGGGATGGGTTGAGGACACAGAACAGATTCTGTAGGGCCAAGTTGGACATTATAAGGGTTTTGGCTTTTACATTGAGCAAAATAAGGAGCCACTAAAGAGATCTGAGCAGAGGAGTAACAATATTACACATTAGTAAAAAATATTAAAGTATAACCCCTGCTTAATTTTTAAGAAAACCAATTGATTACAAAATGATAAATGAAATTTTCTAGTAAACTTCAACAAAAAAACCTTGCATTGGTGAATGGATTTAAAAATGAACATTGAGATTTATTAAGTACAATTAATGACTTATTTCGATGTGGATTTATGTATTTTAGTAAGGTAAAAACCAAGATTTGATGGGAGTGGGGGGAGTATTACTGAATAAACTAACTCAGTGGTAGATGGTGTGGGATTTAGTACTGTAATAACTAATCCATTTCCATATATCAAATCCTATGCCATCAGTACATACCATATATCACCAAAATATTAATTAATCTTGGATTATTTAAATCACAATCTTTCACTTTTAAAAGTAATTTATAAATAACTTTGGGGAATTCTATATGGAGCCTGTATTTTCCACCACATATATTAAATTTTAAAAAGCAAACAAACATGTATGGAGCCATCGCACAGGAAATCTGATAACTATACAGACCCTGTCGGCAGGAACCATATGTTTTGATGTGTGTGACTGCCTATGGTTGCACTGTACAGCCAACAAATGCAATCAATACCAGGAACAGTCACATAGGTCTTACTAAAGTCCTATACCCAGGATCTATACTTTTTTTATGTTTTTATTGATTTCAGAGAGAAGAGAGGAGGAGAGACGGACAGAAACATCAATGATGAGAGAGAATCATTGATCTGCTGCCTCTTGCACAGCCCCTACTGGGGATCGAGCCCGCAACTTGGGCATGTTTCCTGACTAGGAATCGAACTATGACCTCCTGGTTCATAGGTCAATACTCAACCACTGAACCACACTGGCTAGGCCAGGATCTGCACTCTTAAGTGAAATATAAACGATTTCATCATCAAATTATTCTGCCTAATTTTCCCAGAGCCACTTTTTTAATGGTATACATGTATTCTGTCATATATTTTTACTAATAAGCACTACAAAGGATCAGTGGGTCACCATCAGAATTCTTAAAAGCTTATGTTCTATGACTAAATACATTTTTACATCTCTTAATAGCACTGCAGCCATTTCTTTAAAGAAATAAATATCATATATAACATTCTAAATCTACCAAAGCATTTAAACTCATTACTGTACTTTAATTATACTAGTATACTCAACATAGACTAAAAACCAGTCCTGTAATACTGTCTACCCAACTAAGGCCATTTCTAAAAGAAAAATTGTTATGAAGTAGACAAGCCTATATTCTTACCATTATTGCTAATAAAATCTTCATGTAAAATAGGGAGATCAAGTCGAATTCGTTTTAAACAGGTCTGAAAAGAGACATTTTTACATTTTTGTTAATAACATTTGGAGGAAAATGGTCATTTATTCCATTCTGAGTTTCAAAAAAGATGTTCTTTAAATAACTACTCATTTTCCTTCTTTCTACCAAGACAGATTTAAAAATTAAGACCCCAAACAGCTACTCAGCCTTAACTAAATCTTACTTCGTACTATTCAACACTGTGAATGAAACTCATAATAATCTCAACACATACCTGAACTTCCTTTTTATTTCCCAGGTATTCAACTCTGTCAATAAAATCCTCAAATTGCAGTTTAGGGAATAGCCTATGTGCCCAGTGCTCCATGTGTCTGATTAGCGTCTTCAAGTCTTCAGCCTGGCACATAAAAATAAAAATGCTAAGTAGAAAACTCATTCTCAGAACTGATCTGGTCAGCAGATTTTAGAATTGAATAGTAATGACAAAGTCATTGGTGTCACTTTACATTTATAAGGTGAAGAAATTCTAAAAAGAAAAATATTTATTAAGGGCTTAGAGGATTGCAGTCTAAAAGAGCACTGGATACAAATTTTTTTTTTAATCAGAGGAAATAAAACAGATGAAAGTTTAATCATCCCTAGCCGGTTTGGCTCAATGGATAGAGCGTCGGCCTGTTTGGCTCAATGGATAGAGCATCGGCCTGTGAACTGAAAGGTCCCAAGTTCAATTCCGGTCAAGGGCACATGCCCGGGTTGCGGGCTTGATCCCCACTGGGGGACTTGCAGGAGGCAGCCGATCAATGATTCTCTCACATCATAGATGTTTCTCTCTCTCTCTCTCTCTCTCCCTCTTCCTTCCTCTCTGAAATCAATAAAAATATATTTTTTAAAAAGTTTAATAGAAGTTAAAAGGTAATCACATGTGGTTTTGCAGGACAGTAAAGTAACCCTAAAAATAAGCTTTAATAAAATATATCAAGGTATCTTTTAGGAATTACGAAACAAAGTGGTTGGTCCCCTAAATAATAGAGAAGAAAGCATTGAGAATTCAGCATTGTGAAAATACATTCAGAAATCCCAAGAACAAAGTACTGAAGACCAGCAAGAACAGTTTAAACATTCTCAGACCAGAATACCTATTTTGAAATTTCAACTTAACATTAAAAGTTTTTTATATTAAATGAAATACAAAGCTTTTTTGTTGTTATCCTCATTGAGGATATTTTTTCCGTTGATTTTTAGAGATAATGGAAGGGAGGGAGAGAGGGGGAGAGAGAAACATCGATTGGTTGCCTCATGGGGCCGGGGGATTGAACCTGCAACCCAGGTATGTGCCCTTGTCCAAGAATTGCACCCACGACCCTTCAGTGTGCAGGCCAGTGCTGTAATTCCTGAGCCACCTGGCCAGGGTGACAGTTCTTAAATGTCTCCATTTTCAACAAAACTTAATTGATGTCTATTATAAACCAGGCATGGTGCCTTATCTTAGGGACACCTAAGTTATCAATACAGGTAAAGTCCTTGCTCTCATAAAGCTTAAAACCACTCTCTGAAGTAGACAAAGTAAATTTTATTCCTCAAAATTATAAAGTACAGAGTCAGGCTTGCTGACTCATACATGATTTTACTAAAGTCATACGGTGGCAAAACCAAGACATGTTTTCTCATTCTTCTAACAGTGCCCTTTCCACATCATAGTTTCTCAAAAGATACAATGATGAATGATTACATCTGTAAAACATTCTAAGATTCCTAACATGATAACAGACCCAGTTTTATAGAGTCAGTCAGCCCTACCTATGAGTGGGTTCTGCATACATGGATTCCACCGTGAATTGAAAATATTCAGGGAAAACAAATGTTATGCTGTTGCTGACATGTGCTATGTAGTTAGGCCTATGATGGTTGCTGCATCTGTACTGAACATGTACAGACATGTTTTCTTGTCATTATTCCCTAAACAATGTAATATAATAACAACTATTTACTTAACATTTACATTCTGTTAGGCATTACAAGTAATCTAGAGAAAATTTAAAGTAGGTTCTATGCAAATACTATGCCATTTTATATAACGGACTTGAGCATCTGTGGATTCCAACATCCACAGGAGTCCTGGAACCAATCCCCCACAGATAGTGAGGGACAACTATATTTTCAAAAACAAAGATAAAAACCAGACATTTCTTACCTCATGACCTTTACCTTTAAATTTTGTCTTATCAAACACATGTCTTAATGCTGGAAGCCCTCTCTCTGAAATCAATCTGTGAATAGAAATATGTTTTTAAATTCCAAGTTTCCTAGAACTATCAAGGCCAAACCAAGACCATAAGAAGAAAAGATATTATCTGAATTGAAAAAAACCTATATAATAAAAGCCTAAGCGATTGTTATGGCAGAATGACCAAAACAACCAGTCGTTATGATCTGCAATGACCACCAGGGGGCAGATGCTCAACACAGGAGCTGCCCCCTGGTGGTCAGTGCACTGCCACAGGGGAAGTGCCACTCAGCCAGAAGCCAGGTTCACGGCTGGTCAGCGCAGCGGTGGTGGCAGGAGCCTCTCCTGACTCCGCAGCAGCGCTAAGGAGCAGCAAGCCAAGCAGTAAGGAGCAGTGAGCAGGTGGGCGGTAAGGAGCAAGGGTCCTGAAGCTACTCCCCTGCCCCCCAGTGCACGAATTTCATTCACAGGGCCTCTAATATCTTTATAAATATCTAATTTTCAAATCATCCTTACCAACAGATTGTAACATAAGGAAGAAAAAAAGATATTAAAAAAAAATACAAATGTTTATGGCAACAGTACATATACCTCTGAGCATCAAGCTTGGGGATATTCCTTTTAACTGTTCTCCTTTGAGGTACAGGAACAGGTGCTCCTCTTCCTGACTCTGTGAAATATACCAAGATTTAATATTACTTAAATAATTTAAGCTTCACTTGTAAAATGTATCATTTCTAAGCTGATATATGGATAACTGAACACAGACACTTTTTTTAGAACTCTATACAGACCGTCATCAGGTTCAGCTCCTTCATCATCTCTCTCTGGAGAAGCTGGAGGAGGGAAGGGAGGAAACGTTTCATCTTCTACATGCTCATAATCTGGTAGGTCAGTCAAGCCATTCTCCTGTGGTTCCAGCATCTTTTCCTCTGGGGGGAGTGGGGGGAGTAAACACGTTTATTCATCCAAGCAGTCTTCCTATTACACAGGTAGGATCCACCTGCAGCAAAATACATGTGCTTCAGTCAGTTAAACCATATTTCAAACTCAGACATGATGAAAACTGGAAATAATAGATATGGAAAAAGAACTGAGCTAAAAATCAGAAGAACCGGGTTCTAAACACTAAATAATAATATACTTTTGAACAAATCATTTTACCTCAATTGTTGAGTTTCATCTATCATAAAATGATCTGGACTTTTCAGAGGGTTTCAAACTATGATCCAAATGGACAGGAACCTCACCTGCCACTTCAACCAGAGAAGCTCATAACAAAAATCTGTTTACATATTAATCTTCTAGGTAAGGTTCCTTTGAAGAAAGGGAAATAATCCTCAGGTTGATGACCTGAAAGAATGCTTTTCAGTACCATCTTACTTGACCTCTCAGCAACATCTCAAACTTTTGATCCATTCCTTTTTCTGGACAAGTGTTTCCGCTGACTTCTGAAACATAGTACTCACCTGACTTTTCTCCCTTTCTGGTCACTCCTCCGGGATCTTCTTTGAAGATGCATCTTCCTCTAACCTGGTCAGTAAGGATCCAAGACTCCATCCTAGGCCCTCTACACTCATTTATACACATGGCATTACAGATAACTCACTAATTCTTTATCTCCATCCCAGGCATCAAATCTGAGCTCCAGATCCCTACTTTTCATTTGACAGCTCTTAAATTTTCAATGGTACCTATATCTCATCATGTACAAAACTGAATTTCTAATTTTCCCAGTTCACTGCATACCATCTATCCAGCCAGGCAAGTCAGAAACCTACAAGTCATCCTTGACACTTCCCTCCGTCTACCCTACATATCCTATCCATTGTACCTCCTAAATATCCCTCGAGTCTGTCCATTTCTCCATATCTCCACAATCACATCATAACATTTCTACTTGGATTACTCCATTCCTCCTATCCAATTCTGACTTTTCCAATCCATTCTCCATATTACAGCTAAGTTTAACCTATGGAAATACAAAGCTGATCGCTTTACCACGTGGCTTAAATATGTCAATGGCTTCCGTCTGTCCTTAGGATAATGATAAAGCTCAGGCTCGGCATGGCTTGGCACCCTCCTACTTCTCCCACTCTCATGCTCTTTCCTCTCGGTTCTTTGAAAGAGCCGTATCCCTCAGGCCTCTAGACTTTTTAAAAAATATATATTTATTGATTTCAAAGAGGGAGAGGGAGAGAGGGACAGAAACGTAAATGGTGAGAGAGAATCATTGATGGGTTGCCTCCTGCACACCCCCTACTGGAGAACAAGCCCGCAACCTGGGCATGTGCCCTTGATGGAATCGAACCCGGGACCCTTCAGTCCGCAGGCAGACGCTCTATCCATGGAGCCAAACCGGCTAGGGCAGGCCTCTAGACTTTTGCAAAGGACATTTCCTCTCTTGAAGGCCCTTCCTTGGCTCCTAATCTCTTTCAGATCTCTACTATCACCTCCACAGAAAAGTCTGCCCCAATTTCCCCAAACTAAATCCTCCTATAATAAGCACTCAAAGTATCAGGTACAGGTTTCACAGCACTAGCCCCGTTTCAATACCAAGTTCTATTTATGTGATTATTTCCTTAATGCTGTCTTTCATACCAGACTGTAGCTCTAAAAGGGCAGAGACCAGACAGGCCTCCTTGTGCTTCACCACTGCATCCCCAAAGCTGGTACACAGCAGATGCTCAATATATATTTGTTGAATGACGGAATGAAAAATTCCAAAGCTTCCCCCAAAACTGCAAAACTACTAGAGCTAGATGATCTCTAATCTCTCTAATTTTAAATTTCCATGATCACCTATCATAATAAAAGCATAATATGCTAATTGGACTGGATGACCTTCCGGAGGAAGCCCGGGCTGGGAGGGAAGCTGGTGCGGCAGCGGGGTAAGGAAGAGCTACTCTGGCACGAATTCCGTACATCGGGCCTTCAAGGAGGAATTGTCCTTTGCAAAAGTCTAGAGGCCTGCCCTAGCCGGTTTGGCTCCATGGATAGAGCGCCAGCCTGCGGACAGAAGGGTCCCGGGTTCGATTCCATCAAGGGCACATGCCCAGGTTGCGGGCTTGTTCCCCAGTAGGGGGTGTGCAGGAGGCAGCCCAAGTTCAAAATTGGAAGAAGGCCGTCAGAGCCCGTAACTGCTGCAGTAGCTACAATAAGCATAGTTAGCCCCATCTAGTTACGCCCTCGGGAAGAAATGGGATTCGCACCTCTGAGGCCGAGTTTGAGGGCAGGACACAAGCTACATGGAGTGTGGCTCCTATATGCAAGGAGCTGGCCGAGCATGGCGTGGGCTGGTCAGTAAACTGGTAGTGAACAAGGGATCCATCTGTTGCTTCTTTAAAATTTAACTTTATATTCTTATGTCCTTCCCTTATTGATAACTGTTGCATTGTCTCTTCACTGTCTCCTTTTTAGACATCCATGAAATTCTCTTAACTTCTTCCTCTAGTCCTCAAACTCCCAGAGGAGTGAACATAACACAGAAACGTAACCTTCAAACTACAGTTGGTTCCCAGACCCTTCGGGTGTCCCATGTCCAACTTCCTCCACGTTATCCGAGCAGAAGCCCCTTTATCCCGGGAAGTTCGCACCGGAAACTCCATGCCCCGCTTTGCTAACCGGCGAGAATACTGCATTTCCCACCCCTCCATTCTCGCCCCGTCCCGTCTCTCCCTTCATTCATTCCAGTCACCCACGCCTTCCGCGTTAGAAGCCCGGGGACAGGAGCTGGCCAGGTAAAGATGTTCCTGACACACGTCCCCTCCCGCTAAAAGGCTGGGTTTAGTGAGAGGTGGTCCCCAAACGTAAACAAAAAGTAAATGTGCACCCCTTGTCCCCACCGGTCTCCTCGCCCCACAGGTCGCGCCCGGTCGGGCCTGTCTTGCTCTGCAGTCCACCTCATTCCTGTAGTCCACCCCCTCACTCCCTCCTTGTGCTCCCCACACCCCGACTCTTCCGCCCGAACCCCTCGGCCGCTTCTCCCCTAAGCGACTTCACTCTCCAGCCAGCCCGCTCTCACCTCAGGCGGACTCAGCTCCCGGCGTGGCGCGGCTAGCAAACCGCGCTTCTCGCGAGACTCTAAGTTACCGCCGCGAAAAGAGCCCTCGGCGCTT